TCAGGCCGGGTCCCGGGAGGCGCCGGGGGCGTGGGGGCCTTAGCTCCCCTTCCTCACCTAAAATTCTCGCCGCGCCCCCTCCCTCCCTGGCTCCTGAAGCCGGGACTGGCCCCGCGGTCCCTTCGCCCCGACCTGGGTGGCCGACGGTCCTCCCCCGCACCCTGTTGGGTCTGCGCCCCTAGTCCTTGCTCCCCTCTTTTGTATCCCCCTTTAGTTCCCCCCCCATTCAACCCAACTTCAGCCCCCGCGCTGCGCCCCCCCTTCCCTGGCCTGGCTCGATTGGCCGCTTCCTGAGCTGTCAGACTGGAGTCCAGCGCTCTTATTGGGCGATTCTCTGGCCGGGCGGCTATGCCAAAGGAGGCGCACTGGGCGGGGGGCTCCCCGGCAGCGACCGCGACTGGGAGCCGGAGACCAGATGCCCTGGGGGGTCCGGAGGGGCCAGTGAGCCAGACCCGGAAATGGACGGGGAAGACTAAGGAGCTCAGAGACATAGGACAGCAATGACGGGCAAGATGGAAATGCAGTGGGTGAGGCCCTTGTAGCCCGGTTGGGGCGGGCAGGATGGGGTGGGGGGGGGGGGCAGTACCTGAGAGCGAGTCCCTCAGACCGCACTGGGAACACCTGGTGTTTGTGAAGAGCTTATGCTTTTTTTTTTTTAATCTCGTTTGATCCCCATCAATTACCCAGAGATGTAAAATGGGGCAGGGCCTATATGATTCCTTCTAGTTTTATTGATGTAGAAACTGAGGTTCTAAGAATTCAATCAACTTGCACGGGTCACAAAGGTCTCTTAACTTGCAACCCAAAGATTTTACGTCACAACCAAGCTGCCTTCCCTGCCTAGCAAGTGTTAGAGGTAGGACGCAGTTAGGAGCTACTGTGGAAGGAGCCGCGGGGGTGAGGGGCGCAAAGAATGACCAACTACTGCACAGCACCAGAGATGAAGAGGCAGGAGTGGAGAGGACTTTACTGCAGGTCAGAGAGGACCTAGGCCGGTGGAATGATGGACCTACATAGTTCCCCTAGCCCAATTCTCCTGAGCTCTCCAGCTGGAAATTCTGGGGAGATCTAAACACTGGGTGGGATGGGAGCAGCACACCTCTAACCTAGGAAGGGAGAGACAGCCTTCACTGTATTCTTCATTCTCCAACTCACCTAGCAAGCACCAAGCGGTCTGCGTGAGCTTCCCTTTCTCCATTGTTCATCTCTGTGGATAGGAAGATAAACCTTACCAGGTTAGGAGGAGAAAATTTGAGAGTTCAATATACTTGCCCTTGAGCAATCCAGTCTTCGAGAAATCCTTGGCTAGCTAACTGAAAAAAGCACCATGCATTTATCAACAAACATTGATAAGAGCAACCTCTCTATGCAAAACTGTGCTGGATAGTGCAGGGATAGAGATGACCAACAAGACTAGCTCCAGAGACAAGCTACCTTACTCCAGTTCAGAGTCCTGCTCAGCCTTCAACCGAGATCTGAGTCCTATCTGTGGGATTCAGAAAGAGGAGAAGTGGGTCCCCACTGTGAGGGCCAGAAAAAACACTGGGAGTCCCAGAGAGCTAACAGGGCTAGCAAGGAAGGATGAATAAGAAGGGGGTGGGGGGCGGATGCATAGTGCTTCTTGAAGAACTGTGTGTAAGTAGTTTACTATCGTATCCATTCTGAAGAAAATGCAATTCTCAACACTATAAAGATGAAAAAATTGGTACTTAGAAAGTTGTGCTAAGGCCCAAGGCTTGTAGCTGAATGGCATCTAAATTCAACCTGCCATTCAACCTGGCACTCTGCCTTGCAGCTGTGTAGCCTAGCTGCCATGGGGGACACCCAAGAGTCAGCTGCACGGGCAGAGGCCGGATGGCGCAAGGGAGCAAGGAACTGGGCGCCACCCTCGTTCCATGAACTCTCCCTACATCATTCTTTTATTCAGGTGTTGATAATAGCCAGCTTTCAACAAAAGCCAGGTATGAGTAAATGTAGAAAATCTAGAACAAACATCGCAATCATGCCACTTACAAAGAATCATTAACATCTTTGTTTTTTGTAACCAAATTTGGACTTTCAGTCTCTCCTTTTGGAATCTACCCTAGCTACCTACTTAGCAAAATTTGTGGATGCGTTTTTAGTGCCAATAAACATTCATTTATAATAACCATTTTGTTGTCTGAACAGAGTGTTGTCACTTGGATATTGCATAATTTATTTGACCAACCTACTGTTGGACATTTTTTACCATCATAGCAGTTTATAAAAAGTTTCCACTCTTTGACTGTTAGAAACAATGAAAATTTTTGTAGATAAATCTTCACACATATCTTTAGTCATATCCTTAGGAGAAAGTCCTACAAGTAGAATGGCTGGGTCAAGGAGCAACATTAATTTCTCTAAGGTATTTCTGAAATCTGTATCTTCAGCCCCTGCCTTCCTTCCCAGTTCCAAGCTTGCCCATGTCCACTGGAGAGCTCTCCATAGATGTTTTTCGCTACCCACCAGTGCCCCGGGTTCAGTTTGTCTAAAACTAAGGTCATTTCCCAAGAGCTTTCACTTTCTTCTGAATTCTCTGCACAGGTAGAATTACTGTCCCCCAAATGCCCTGCACTTAGAGAGGGTATCTCTAAGTATCTCCTAGCCCAGACCCCCTCAACTTTTCTCATCTGTTCTCCCATTTTCTAGCTACTAGCTTCCCTGCTCACCCCTCCCCTGGACCGAAGCTCCCCACTCGCCTTCCAGTCTGCCCTGCACTTAATTCCCTTCTGATCATACATGTCACAGCCCTACTGAAAATTCCACCGTACAGCCTCCACCTTCCTGCCAACTCTCCTGTCTAACACTTCCCCCCACCACAGCCACCCTGAACTGCTCCCCACGCCTCTGCCTCTGCAGAGATTACCTTTTCCCCATCCCTAAATAACAACTTTCTAGCACCTCCACTCCCCGCCCCAGCCCCAGG